CTCAAGTAGTTCCACATGAAACATAAACACATAAATAGAACAACAAAAGGACATCATACAGCATCATTTACATAATTATCCACATAAACAGGTACCAATAGCTTCCGATTGAGTAGCATCCAACCGAGCTTTAAAAACATTTAGTGGCACCAGATTGTTCAGTTTCCATTTAATTTGCAAGACTATTCCAAGACAGAGGAGCTGCGCATCTAAAAGCTGTCTTCCCTAAGACAGTCCTAGCAGTTGGCACATTTAATAAAACCACAGCATTCGATCTCAGGCAGTAGCTACTTACAATTCTCCGTGAGATCAGGGAGCAGATATAAGATGGAAGTTTCCCTAACATGGCTTTGTATGTTAGGGAAACTTCCATCTTATATCTGCTCCCTGATCTCACGGAAAATTGTAAGTGGCTTATTATTATTACAAGTTAATACTTGTAAATACAACTGTTGACCCGTAATTTCAATTCCCCATTTCAGCGACCAAAGAGAGGGGGGGGATATATCCAGTCTCTGATTGTGTTACGTTATTATGAGAGTGCTGAGCTCTCATACTTTAAATTGTATATATTTATATAAATATATTTGTGTGTGTGTGTCCGCATCTGTGCCGGTTATTGTCTCATTATACGATATACCGCACTCTCAATTAATTCAAAGTAAATATGTGGGGGAACAATGTTCAGCTGATCTAACAAAGATTATAAAATACAGCGCTATGACAAAACACTCGACAGCTGATGCAGCTGTTGCCACGTAATAATGAACGGACGTCGCTTTAATATGACCGCTCAGAGGAGAGGAGTTCTCATTTCTTTAAACGTCTGCTGCTTCCCCTCCTCTCTCCTCGGTTCCCCTCCTCGGTCCTCCGCTCGCCTCTCCTGTGGGCGGGTCTAAGTCTCGAGGAGGGGAGTCGAGGAGGGGAAATTTGAGTATTGAGAAGCCTCTATAGACTCGAGGTAGTGCTTGAGCACCTGCCCGTTTTGCCCTCTGGACAGCAATGTGCCCTTTCGAAAGTTCGTTTTTTACAGTTTAAATTTTATTTTTTTTACAGTGTACTGTATGTGGCTCATGGTAACATCGATCAATTCTGGATTAAAAGCTTCTAATATAACAATGCCCCAAATGCGCGTTGTAATTTTGTCAGACATCCCCACGCGTGCCCCGCGGCACTCCCGTACGTGCCCTGGCTGCAGCCTCTCCCTTATGGGGGTTATTCCCTATCTTTATTCAAGAGTGGTATTTAAATTTGAGAGCATACTTTATGTATTTATTTCCCTCAAACCCTGTCCTCGCACTCAAATAGTGCCTGCTTGCACTTGGGTTTGAGGGAAATAAATACATAAAGTATGCTCTCAAATGTAAATACCACGCTCTTGAATAAAGATAGGGAATAACCCCCACACTCCCTGCTCTCAACGTGAACGCGCAGCGCGCAGAGCTGACAGTCAGTCACTCAGTCAGACAGGCCACGGCGGGTGTGTGGTGCAGCAGCACGCAGCAACACGATTAAAAGTGCCCTAGTGACGACCAAGTAAGTAACCACCAGGTAACAAATACAACGAGTGTATTGTTTAATCCCCTAAATCAGATGCCAAACTAAACTATACAGGGTTCGTACCGTACGGTCATTGAAAACCTGGAAAAGTCATGGAAATTCAAAATGCAGATTCCAGGCCCTGGAAAAGTTATGGAAAACAATATTTTTCCCAAAGTTTTGGAAAAGTCATGGAAATGTAACTAAAGTTGCGTCAAATATAATTTACATTTTATCTAATCGCCGAAATAATCTGCGGTCGCGAGCTGTTATGTGCCATCATGACGCGCATGGTGTTATTTTTTAATATATGAAGCGCGAGCTGTGTGCTCGAGTCTTCTTGCCTGTCGGGCCGGCTGAACTCTGCTGCTCCGGGATGAGCTGTACTGTACTGTACCCAATATACAAGCTGTTAATAAACTTTTCAATCAATCAATCAATCAGGGTCAGCTACATTAGCTACGGTGCGTTCGTTAACTGTGCGGAGTCACTGTGGCACAGACTGCACCGCTGGTGAACAGCTGTTAGAACGGGCCGTTCAGGTGTTCAGAGCAGAGCGGCAGAGCGTGATGTGAACTGAAACGTTTTTCTATCGCAATATCATTGTCACTATCTGCTAACGTTAGCTTTAGCCTTCGTTTTCTAATAGTTTTTTTCATAGGCTATAAACAGAGGTGGTATAAGTATAGAGATTGTACTAGAGTAAAAGTAGAAGTACTCAGATCTTGTACTTTAGTAGAAGTACTCAGATCTTGTACTTAATAAAAGTAGAAGTACTCAGATATTGTATTTGAGTAAAAGTAGAAGTACTCAGATCTTGTACTTGAGTAAAAGTAGAAGTACTCAGATCTTGTACTTTAGTAGAAGTACTCAGATCTTGTACTTAATAAAAGTAGAAGTACTCAGATCTTGTACTTGAGTAAAAGTAGAAGTACCAGAGTGTAGGAATACTCTGTTACAGTAAAAGTCCTGCATTCAAAATGTTCCTCAAGTGAAAGTAGAAAAGTATTATAAAAATACTAAGAGGCATGAAAATACATTTTCAAAATGCTCAACAGTTCTGCCAAAATTATAAACTGACTGCTACACAATTAAAATAAATGCTTTTATATATTTCTATTAGATGTAACTCTTTGGCGTTTCTGTTATTATTACCTGCTGCTTTAGTTGTTCTGACTGCTAAAATCCTGTTATTCCTCATTTTAAAGCCGATATTCCGTGGGGTCGGGGGGCTCGGATCCTTGTCACCTTTTTCATACCTGATGAGTTTGCATCCCGGACTACAGTTGCTTTAGCGAGTAGAAGCTAGTAAGCCTACTATTTGATTTGTTTTAGATAGGCATCTGCATCAGACAGCATATGGTTATTGAAATAAATATATATGCAATTACGACATACAAGATGTGCCTTTAATAAATCTCACACTACTAAGGCAGCCGGCGGTTCCACCAGGGGCGTCAATCCCGGGGGGGGGGGGGGTTCAACCCCCCCTAGCTTCAGATTGGACCCCCCTAAGTCATTTAGAATAATAAAAATAAATGTTAAAATAATAAAAAATGTGATAATAAATCAGAAAAATCAGGCAAAAATAAGAATTAAATAACATAACCCTAACACCGAAATAAAGTAACCAAAAAGAAACTTAACAAAATCCGCCATTATCCGGCAAATTTTTGCGCACAATTTCGGAGCGCACAATTTCGGCGTGACCGCCACAACGACTCAGAAGGTGCCCCTTTTTTTTCTCTTGAGCACCTGCCCCTATAAATGTCTGTGCACGCCACTGATCCAAAGTGAATGTAAACTTGAATAATGTACATCATTTGAATGTAATAATTAAGTTGATTGTTGTTTGTGGAAGCTCCAGTGAATGAGCCCCATTAACTGAGTTTAAACATCACTTTAAATGGAAGATTTAAAGTGATGTTTAAATCTTCCATTTAGGCCCCGCCCACTCGATCGGATCAGCGATCGGTATCGGCCGATACTGATTCCGGCGATCGGCCCCGAAATTGGTGATCGGAGCATCCCTAATTAGCACACATCTTGTGTCCATATCTTTCTGTTTTGGTGGTCATGCCACAACCGTGCACGTGCATGCGTGAGTCATGGTAAGATATCTGGATTAAGATGTTGCTTTTTCTTTGCACAGCATGAAAGAAAGGCGAAATGAATGGGCTGTGATTTTAGTATTTTTAAGCAGAGGTCAATCATTTGTACGGCCCTCGGAGGATGTTGAAAAAATTGAAATGGCCCTTGAGAGGAAAAAGGTTCCCCACCCCTGCTTTAGAACAAAGATAGCAGCTTATCTTCCTAACATTGTTACTTTTGAGGGCAGATCTGATTAGTTTCAAATCAGATGTAATAAGATATTTTATTTCCTTTAAAATTCTTGTTTAAATGTTGATGCCTTACATGACTTGACTATAGTGATATGTTGCACATGCAAGCCTCGGGGTACGTTGTGCCACAGTGCTCTGAACTTTGTGCCAGGTTGCACATCTCCTTCTCACCAATGCCCCCTTTACGTTTTTTTTAATCTTATGAGATCAGTTGCATTCATTGACCTTGTGTCTCAATAACTGGTGCAGATGTTTATTTAGGTTTAGCATTACGAGGAACACAAGCAACATCATATACACAAAGACATACATATGTGATGTGTGGGAATAAACATCAAAGTAGTCAAACCACCCCAGAGACAAAACAGATCAAAGTCATATCTGACGTCACATTTGTCTTCATGCTTTAAACACATGCAGTTTGAGCTCTGCTCTAGCCCCTGCTGTGTCGTCTCATGACATTTTAACATTCAACAAACTCCCATGATAGTTACTCCCATGAAGTGTCTGAAGTTTGAAAGTGTTGGTTTGTCAAGATCCGGCATATAGATTTAATGTAACTACATTATTTCACAGACGTAACAAGTACATTGCATTAAATGTAATGTGATAAAACATGTAGAACCGATTGATCCTTTAATATCTGCTCATGAAAGCTACAGGGCAATGTCTAATATGAATAGGAATATGGATTTAAATGTGATTTACCACAAGAAAGACTTAACCCTTATCCTTTATGGGTTTGCACAGCGAAACAATTTTTTGAAAACCGAGCAAAAACAATTGTGAAATACTAAAGCCATAAGTCCCAGAAATGGGAAATGAGGCTGTGGTCCTTGTAAACAACTCTATCAATCCCCTGCAGATATGCTATAGTAATTTGTGCAATTGTGCCTTGCCTTGACTTCTCTTTCCCTCCAGAATCATGTTTTAAGCCTGAGAAGAGTGTGGATGTGTTTGGTATATAGACCAGATTAAAACCTTTACAAGAACAATGTATTTGAATCCTTGTGTGGCAGCTTTTATGCATTCTGCAGATAGAATATAATAGAATAGTTTAATGTCATTATACATGTACAATGAGATAAATGCTTTTCCCTTTCAAGAGAGATGCAATACCTCGTTCTGCTCCGGCTGCATCCCTCCTCTCTATCAGCAGGTAGCGAGGACTCTCGGGCAGGAAGGGCATCACACACAGCTGCAGAACCGCCGGCAATGCGAGGAAAGTAAACAGGTAGCTCCATCTAGTTTCCTGCAGTAAAAAAACAACAACAAAAGAACTACATCAAAGCTTCAATCTTTTAATTTATGCCATACAAAGACATGAGATAAAACTAATCTGTGGAAAAAGTGAATGCAGATGATACTCTTGTTAAGAATGAATGCAAGCAGTCATTATTATAAGGTTAAATGCATCATTACAATGAGTTACCATTTCAGTAGGAAAAATGCTTTGGCTTAAGGTAATCCTCTAAATGTGAAAGCATAGTATAAGACTTATGGTATGAAAGTAATGCAATTCATATGCTTCTTTAAAGCAAGAAAGATTTGAATGTGTGTATGAATGAGAGGCTGCATTAAATAAGCAATAACAGTATGTTAGGCTCCGTAGACAAATGGTGAATATGTGAAATGTCCCCATGAATAATAACTGAATAAATAGATATAAGCTGTATTGTGGTTGAATCTTCAAGAACAGGAATGGAGGAAACTGTCTTTTGTCATGGAGACTACACAGATGCAGAGAACATAAATGCATTTGTAGGGATGCACTTACTCATATACTGTCTCAGTTTCATTCACAGAAGGCCTCTGAGGTTTAATATTTATCAAAGCCTGCCAATTGTATGGTAGCTGTTATCAAACACGGTATTTTCGCTCAATCGTCTCAAGGACCAACAACAGCAAAGAGCACCTGATTAATTTGAGATAATAATAATAATAATAATAATGCATTACATTTTTTTATTAGATGACCTTGGTCTTTAAATCATCCCTTCTGGAAAAATCTAGTTGCCGGATTTATACTCAAAAAAGTTATAGTTTGAAAAAGCAAATCCTATATGATACAAAGTATTTATTGAATGCATTGAAAAGATCTAACAGATTAGTCATCATCTTCCTGAGCCTATTATTAACACTAGAAGAGGGTCTGTGTCATTGACGGTCACCACCATCATGCACCATAATGGATCTCTGACTCATGTACTGCAAAAACAAACAGGCTTTGTGTATACAGCATTGCACTCAGGAAATAGGACAGGATGCACAGCTTTATGTACTGGGCAGATCTAGTCTTCATGAACTCACTTGAGCAAACAAGACAGAGATGTTTGTAGTTATGGAGAGAATTTGGCAAAGAGGTGCCCTTTTAGGGAGAAAAAACTCAACTCCTATGAAGTCTGATGATGAACAAATTGCCCAACATTTGCTAGGTGAAAACAAAACTGAAAAGGTCAGTCTGTAAAACTTTAAAATTAAACGGTAATAAACTTCTCTTCAATTCAGCCAGGGCTGCAAATTAACCCTACACTCACAATGTATAATATCAATTCAGTTTAGGGAGTAAAGTATGTGCTATACTATACGGTACAATGCAACTTCCAAAAACAAAAAGTTAAATGCCCAACAGATTTAAAATAACATAACATTCATCTGTTTGCAACTTACATATATCATATATACCTATTCAAATTACTGTATAGACTATTCTGCTCAGTTTCTATCATATTCTGTTTCTATTATATTAAATTAAATTAAATTTACTTGTACTATTTTATCTGTTTATTGTGTTGCACTGTTAGAGGAGCGTGTGACCTAAGATGTTCATTGTCATATCCACACCGTAGCTATGCACACAATAAAAGCCTTGAAAACTTGAAAAACGTGAGTACTGTAAGAATATGTTGGTCAATTCAGGGCAACAGAAAAACTGTAAACATTGGTGTAAAGATGATATGGCAAACGTCAACAGTTGCTTATGTAGACATCCGGCCAACATTATTACAGTAGTCCTGTTTCTGACTCGTGTTCCATATTAATTATTTTTTTACCTCAGTTTTCAGTCTCCACCATATCCAAAGGGAAATATTTAGATTTCCAGCAAGCAAAGCCAGCATTGAAAAGGTAAAACTGAAGTTTCTTAAATTGCCACCTGAGGATGGCTCCACAAAGAGTCAATCCCCTTGGAGTTAAATTGTCTAACTTTAGAGCATAAATTAACATGTTTACAGCCTGGAGAAAAAAAACGCTTTTGATCTCTAAAGCTAATATCAGACACAATATTGCGTCGAGGTGCAGAGGCATTCCCTAAAACTTCAGGAAATGAATATAAATGTGACACAGAAACCCTGTTTGTAACTGTGTGCGGCTATTAGCGCTGATCTTTATGAATTCAAATGCCTTTGCAGTGAGGCACATTTGCATTTTGCACCAAATGTAATTACGTTACCTCATTTAAATATGTTGTTCAAATAGACATGAGCAATGAGGGTGCATTTCCCTCTGCTGGTGCCCTGAGAAACACAACATGTATTTTCAAATATGTCATTAATGAAGAAATATGTGCCGTATGTTCACATGAAGTGTACATCCAGTAAAACGAAGGATAGGTCCTAAGTAACATATCCAACAATGAATGCGGACCTCTACCTCCATGTTGATCTTTAAAAAATAAAAAGGTCTTAAAAAATACTTTCAAGATAGGATTAACTATTAAAAATTAGACAAATTAATTAGATGAACTATAGTTAGTGGGCGAATCTTCAAATATTTATTTTGAAGTTGCAACTTTAGAGACATTTCTTGGAATATGAGAAAATGTAAGCAGTTGGCATTTTTGCCTCTGCCTGATAATGACTTTCTCTACACTGGTAACAGTCCAACTTCTCTATGATCCTCTCTGCACTAAATCCTTGCTGAGCTGAGTAAATGTAAGCACGCTGAACTGATCTGTGGGTCGTCTTATCCCAGCTGGAGATGAGAGTGGGCGTTTGGATCTGACCTCTCTGTGGCTGCTGTGACAAATAGAGTTTTCTGAGATCAATGCTTGCATTACAGCATCTATACTATAAGCATCTTGTAAGAAATCAATGTTTTACTTCAAATTGTGTGGTATGAATGATATACAGCACATTATCACTGGCTGCTGGCAGTGTTTTCTTCTCACAAATGCATACAATAGAAAGAGTCTTTACCAAGGGAGGTTTAGATAATGTAGATGTAAATATATTGACAGTTACTGGTGTAAACACAATCCAACATTCATTGCTAATCAGGTTAGACTAATCTGCTTCACACACACACACACAACATTTCAAGGCTTGTGTTACAGTATAGAAAAAAACGCACCAGTGTGTGCACCAATAGCTGTTTTCTAACTGGGCCAGGATGTTTTGGCCAGGCTGTGTTTGTGGCTGAAACAGACTGTAAACTAGTTGGATACTAATGTGTGATGGATTACTAGGTGCATTACAGCTAATATTTATATTTAAACGTTCTCTTATCCTGGAAGAACAATTAAGTGGTGAAGGCAGTTTATATATATAAAACTTATTTTCTTCTTCCTACTCCAACTGGAAATAAAAAATATAAAAATGGCATCTCCACATTCTGCTTTCCTTTTAAATATTTGGGCTCAGTATTCTGCCAATTATGTGAGGCTACATATTTTCCTGGCATTAAAAAGATAAACACAACAACCCTGCCACATTAAATTCTCAATAAATCAAAATCGTGTTCCTTAGGTCACCAGAATCTCAGGCTATACGACATAGGTGTAGATCTGTAGATCTGCCAGGATCTGAAGAAGAGCTCTGGCTTTAGCTGTTTGTAATGAATGCCAGCTCCTCTATAAAGGCCCGGACACACCAATCTGACAACAAAGAACTGACACAGATGGACCCCGACTGTCGCGTCGCGTCTCTGCGTCTTGGCCAGGGCCGCCCCTGGCCAACTTGGGACCCCAAGCGACAATGTGAGATGAGGCCCCCCCCCCAACCGACAGGAGTGAAACATTTCTTTTTGGAAACAAAGTAGGCTACTTTGCTAATATAATTCCTGTTTATTATTATTATCAACACAGTTACTTTTTATACAGTGAGGTAAATGGTAAACGTGCATGTCGTTCAGTATGCGTTTCCAGGTGAATACGTCTGCATTTTCTGCCAAATACTAGCCTTAAAAAGATTAAAATATAATTAATGCAAATAAACTACTTCTACTAATAATAATAATCAATAATATAAATACTATATTATTTTATTATAATATAGTTGTATAGTCAAGACAAAACATGCTTATGACATGCTCAAAAACTGATATTTCTTAAATCTGTATTCAAATGTAGTTCCCTCTGTCAGCAATGTATCAACAACTACACACACATTTCTATCAGTATTTCTCTGTGTTGTGGTTGACATGATGATGACTGTTAGGAGTTAAGGGGAGAGGCTGAGCATCACCATGAAATGTGCAAATTGACATAAAAATGAATAAAAGGGGACAAAATGCTCCATGTTTTTTAGGCTGTAAACTTTAACTGATATATGAGCCAACTAGACAGACAGTTTATCACTCTTCCTCCTGTACATTAGCAGATAAAAGGCATAACATACTTGAATGAATGGTAAATAAAGAATGCTGGAAATAACTGCATCTCCATTAGCCTATATGCTATGCAGAGACTGCCTTCTTCATGTCGTGAATTGCAGCTGATGTTTTAATATGGCAATTGGCAATTTGACTTGTACAACATTCGCAAGTTGTACATTTGACTCATACAATAACCCACCTTCGAGTGATGCTCTAGTTTCTTCATGTTTTGTTTTTTTCCCGTCTTGCTTGCACCGGACTGAAACTGTCTTTTCACCGACATCTCTTCACCTGCACTAGTGGCCGTATCAAAGCCGTGATTGGTCATTACATTACATTATTACATTACATTGCATTTAGCTGACGCTTTTATCCAAAGCGACTTACAATAAGTGCGTTCGACCAACAAAATACAAACTTGAAGAAAACAGAAACATATAAGTACATCAGGCTTCATAGAGAAAAAACATTTCAAGTGCTACTCAACTGGCTTTAGATAAGCCAGCCCTTTATTAGTATATAAGTGCTTTGTTAATAGTTCTATCGCTCGAAGTGGAGTCGAAAGAGATGAGTTTTCAGTCTGCGCCGGAAGGTGTGTAAGCTATCTGCTGTCCTGATGTCAATGGGGAGCTCATTCCACCATTTTGGAGCCAGGATAGC